CCGACCCATCCGTCCAAACCCAGATGGCTTGCTGGGGGAGGGACGCTAGGTGTCTCTGCGCCGCCTGGTGCAGTTCGTCAGGTGGGGCGTCCCGCCGCAACGCTCCGATGTCCAGGGAGAATGTGACGTGTGGGCAGGCGGCCACCTCCCACGGCGGCGCGCGGGCGGGCAGCAGGGGCTCGATCGTGAGCACGATCCCAGCAGCCCGCCAGGTGTCGTGCCCCACCCCGCCCCATCTGAGCTCGTGCGTACCCTCGTTCAGATACGTAATATCGCTATCTGCCACCTCGCGGTTCCCTTGTCAAGCCGAACTCATAGGCTGCGGAATGGGGAGGGCACCGCGGCACCGTGCCCCCTTTGATTTTGGCATTTTAACATTAGCCCTATGGGCGTTGCATGGAATGAATGGGACCAAAAGTCGGCAGTGCCCCCCCTTAATTGAAGGTATTCCGCCGCTACTGGCCGAACTGATGACACGCAATGGCCAGTCAGTCACAGCTCAGCTTCCTGCGGAACACAGGAAGACACATTCAGTGAGAGTCGGTGGTCATTGATTGTGTCATTATTATTGACATGGTGACTAAAGAACGGTTATAGGGTAGCCTGGGGCAAGACGCCCCAGATAATTTATTTTGCTACATAACTTTTATTCCACATAACCTGGAAGGCCAAATTTGCGCTCAATGCGTTCTTTGGACATTTTACTTTAAATTCCACCCCTCAAATTCATTCACTTATGATCGGACTCCCAGCTAGGAAGTGGTTTGTGAAGCAACTGCAAATAGGGCGTTTTGCCCCAACCCCAGGGCAAAACGCCCCACGGCCTGGGGCAAGAAGCCCCATACTCTAGATTAAAGATTAAACATGCTAGTTGACTAAATCTTATATGAAAGGTCCGTTGGACCTTGGGAGGCATGGCACTGAAGTTAGCACCTTCCATCCTATCAGGTGTTCAGCTACGACACTATTGTATGAGCAGGTCTTTCACCTGCCTCATAAGGCCAAATAATAAATTATTGCAATGCAAATGTTAACAAAATACTTCCTTTGCCATCCAGTTGCTGAGAAAAGTACATATAAATGCATAGAAACATACCGTTCGCCAGCTACCGAACGTTAGGAAGTGGGTAGTCCGAACAACACATGAGGTAAAACGCCCCATGGGGCTTTTTGCCCCGCGACCTACTGGGGCGTTTTACCCCATCACGTAGTTCGGTCAGAGAACAACGCCTTGCACTCCAGCAAGACATAATTTAACACGAACCAACCCGGCATTGTAAGCGTTAGACAATAGTTGTTCAAAATACATAAAAGTCGTTAACCTGATGTGGACGATAAAAGAACGCCATGATGCATGATCTGACAACAAAACATAAAAATCACTCCAAAAACACATTTTTGGCTATATCTCCCTAAAGAGCCATCACAATTTATTTCCAGTCTGCTCATATAATGATCGTATAGTGCACGTTTTATAGAAGAGAGGATGTTTCCCCAGAACCTTGCCAGTTCCGAGAAACATCGGTGAGGCGTTTTACCTCGGCGGGGCGACTTGCCCCGGTCTACCCTATTGCGCCAATACTGTTGCCAGTAGCAGCACCACCAATCTTTTGAACTAAAACCACTTGACATCGGTAAAAAGAAACCCTCTAGCTTTTTTTCAAGCAATCCGTGAAATAGAGGGGATTAGAAAAACCGAAAACCCAAATATTAGCACTATAAAGATAACATAGATCTTAAATTTTGGCCAACATTTTTAAAGCATAGGTACATCAGAGGAGATGTTGGCGGCTTACCGTCGCGTCTGTGATGATCTCTGAGTCATGTCGCATCGTCCGTTTTGTTACGCCCGGTAGTTCAGCGGTGAGTCGCTGGCAATCTGGCTCACTGATTCAACCCCTCCGACGCCGGCGGGCTGTGATGCGAATCACCTTTTACAAATGTTGGGTATTGATACCGTCATTCAGCATATGTCGGTAGGCGCTAATACAGAGATTTTTGATGATAACCTGTTTGTTTTCAGGGCGCTGGAATCAGATGAAATAGCTCCCATATAGGAGATAGTGAGGTTGTTGATGGTAGGTATCTGAAGAGTGTTGTTTCCCAACTCAGATTAATTGTAATGTGCCATCGATTGTACCTTTTACCGCAACCCTGTCGATACCTATATTAGAAGGCTTGCCTGAGTTACTAATAGTCTTTCATTTAGAGAAAAATATCTATCAGTAATCAAAATCGTTAGGTATGCTGGTTCTGTTGCTTACCCCTTATCTACAGGCTACAGCATCGGCGCGGCGCACGTCTTGGAGTGATTCCTGCTCTGTTCCTCCTGTTTCGTTTTTTAGCCGTCAACTTTGAAATTTACCACTTTCCTAACAACTCAACAGGAAAAAATGGAACGCGATATTTGGGAAAAATGTATGTTTCCGAATTGTTTTATTTCTTCTTAAGCAGTTTGAACAAAAATAGAAGTCATTTCTCATTTGAAACTACCCCAATTATAACGATATGATAGTGCCCGTTATTGGCAATGTAGGTGGCAGCACCGTCGACTGCGACTTTTTCGCTGTAACTTCGACCTGCCCGAGCCTCGTCAAATCGCATTTTTACGCAAAACCAACTGCAGGGCTAGTGTTTTGGGATGCTCCCGCCAATTTATATCTTTGTCTAACGCGAATCTGTGAGAAAAACCCCTCTGTCGACACACCCTAGTGTTCAAACACCCCCCCCCCCCCAGCAGGGCGTGGAAATCCAGGACCCCCAGCCGGGCGCGGGTTAAGGTAGGTATAACAACAAGGCTACGTAAACATCTTAACCCGCGCCCCGCTGAGGGGGGGGGGGTCGTTTCGCCTCCCCCTTGTTATGATACGGGCCCGCAACCCCTGTTATGAGAAGGGCCCGGCCTTGGCCCGCCGAGCGGCCGCCGGCCGGCGCCGGCGGAGAGCGGGCAGTGTCGAGCGAGCCGTCTGTATGTATGTATGTATGTATGTATTACGTCAACAGACACTCCACACTTGGTTGTGGCTATTCTGTGCCTTAACCCGCGCCCGGCTGGGGGTCCTGGATTTCCACGCCCTGCTGGGGGGGGGTGTTTGAACACCCCCCCTTCTAACTCGGCTCCTGGGCCACGTAGCGATACGCGGAAGGCGGCGTTCGAAAGAGCGTCAAAAATAATGACGAAATCACTTCGGTCAATTTTTTGGTCAGGTCAAAGGTCAGGTCACCAGAGGTCATTGAAGGCAAAATTTCGCCGATTTCCAGGTCGAATGTCGAAAATTTCCAAGAAGCCAACGCATAACTCGGGAACCAATAGAGCTACAGCGCCGCGGAAAAGCGCATTCGATAGCCCTATTAACGCCCTTTCTGAGTAATTCTCTCAGATTTGACCTAACGTCAACGGTTTTGCCTGCAGGGGGCAAAAACTGCAAAAATAGCCGATTTTTTCGGAAACAGTTTTTCTGCAATAACTTTTGACCCAAGCCTTGTACGAGCTTACTTTTACCGGCATCGTGTTCCTCTCGTCAAGACGCATCGAATGAACTATAACTTGACCTTGAAAGGTCAACTTGAAAATTTGACCTAAGGTCAAGGTCATGACCTGACCGGAAAGGGTCATGTTGCATATCAGTCGATCCGTATCGTCGAGCTGAACACATCTAAGGTGTTTTCATCGCTCTAGCATGCCTCTATCAAAAGTTATTTGCGAAAAACTGTTAGATACCATTCGTGACCTAAGATGACCTCAGGGCATAAACAGGGGTCACGGACACCATTTTCATGTTCAGTGTGTCTAAACCACTTGTAATTCAGTGCTTGGGAGTGTTTATAATGTCTTTCGTCCAAAAGAGACGCATTTCAATTTTCTCCCATTGACTTATAATGGGGAGGTCGCAAAATTGACCTGACCTTAGGTCATCGATATCAAAATTCTGAGATATACATTTTGTACATGCTATTGCTCTTAGCAATCGCTGAAAGTTTCAAAGCGATCGGGCACTTGGTGTAGCTATGACAGACATTGAAACTTTTTATGAGGTGAGGTCACTTCAAGTGACCTGGTGACCTGACCTTGAATGACCTTGGTCTGAAATTTTCACAACATGTGTAGAATTGATGCATGATAAGGTGTACCAAAAACGGCGGCGCTCCGCGCCGCCGTTTTTGAGATATTCGCGAAAAACCACAAGGGGGGGTGTTCAAACACCCCCCCCCAGCAGGGCGCGGGTTAAGTAAGAAAGATAAAACAAAATGTCAATGAAGTGTGAGGGATGACAGGCAGCAAACAATGATGTACACAGCACACACACACGCAAACGCACACACACACTCAGACATGCACGGGCGTAAAAACTACCGTATTACCAGCGACTTGGCAGCGCGCTTAAAAGCAGACGGGCCCAGAGCTCGGGTCTCGATTGGTAGGCGGTTGAGAAGCGTCACAGCTCGGTAACTAAAAGATCGCTGTCCGGTCACGGTTCGGAAAGCCGGCGGCCGAAGATGCCCGTCCTGTCTAGTCGGCCGGTCACAATTGCGCGCGTCAGAAAAGCACTGGAAGAGTGAGGCCAGTTCGGACGGCTCTCCACTGACAAGTATCTTGTGGGAAGCAGTCAAGGTATACAAATCACACATTTGCCGCGGCACCATAAAACCCAACTGATTTCGCGCTCGAGAGATATGATCAAATTTTCTAAGACCGGTCACTACACGCGCCGCAAAATTGATGACCTTGAGCATCCGAGTATCGTTCGCAGCTGATCCATTCCCATAAACCGTGATACAGTAAGACACTCGGGAGATCACCAAACTCTGAACTATTGAGAGCAGAGCCCTCTGCGGGAGGAAATGTCTCAGGTGACGGAGACCGATCAGGATGCCAATGCACTTGTGAACGATATCGGTCACGTGTGCTTCCCAAGTCAGGTGTTTGTCAAAAATAACGCCGAGATTTTTAGCAGAGCGGCTCTCCTGAACGGTCTCCCCACCGATCCGTACGCTGACAGGAGGGAGGTGGCGGGTGTTCTGTCTGGTACCAAGGAGAAGGAGTTCAGTTTTGGAAGCGTTGAGTTTCAGACCATGAGCATGGAACCATGAAGACAGGGATGCAAGGATGGTCTCCATGCGTTGGATGAGGGATGGGAGATTGGATTTGACGTCGGATATTAGGATTTGGGTATCGTCAGCGTACTGGATCACATGAGCGTCCGGCGCGTGAAGGCTGAGATCATTAGCGAAGATGGTGAACAGGAGAGGACCGAGGACGGATCCCTGGAACACTCCCATGGTGTTAGGAAGGGGCTTTGAAACCACTCTACGACCGGAAGGACTGGAGATAGAGACTGACTGAGAATGACCGGAAAGGTAAGCGGAAAACCAAGTGGGATCTATGTTGTACAGTTCTAGCTTGGAAAGGAGTAGGTGATGTGGGATGACATCAAAACATTTGCTAAGGTCCAGAAGACATAGGAGTGAGAGCTGACCACGATCCATGTTGGAAAGAAGCCGGTTTGTGACAGACAGTAGAGCGGTTTCAGTGGAATGACGAGGACGAAAGCCGTGCTGGGATGAGGATAGGAGGTGATTGTGAGACATGTATGCGAGCAGCTGGCTCTGCACCACACGCTCAACAATCTTGGCCATGACAGGTACAATGGAAATAGGGCGGTAATTGGAGGTCATGGCAGGATCACCGGATTTGAAAATAGGGAACACCAGGGAGTGTTTCCAGGTTTGGGGGAAGTCACAGGAGATGAGGCATGTGTTGATTATGTGGAGAAGGATGGGACTAATGGCGTCAAAACAAAGGAGCAGGATGCGGATGCAAATGCCGTCAGACCCACACGCACCGGATCGTCCCATGGAGAACATAACCTCCCGCAAGCCGGCAAGGGTCGTGCCCGCCACCCGAAACCCACACGCACCCACGCGGGGCAGACGGCACGGGACATCGGGCGGCGGACCGAGCCCAGCCAGGCTAGCGGCTACACGTGGTCCCACGTTTACAAAATGCTCATTCATCTCGTCCGGTGTAGCGGCGGGGAGGTTGCGCGCGCCGTCCCTCTTCCCTGTCAGAATGGGTCGGATACTGCGGTACAGGGAGCCGCTCCCTCGAGCACGCAGACTCTCCTCGATACCCGCACAGCAGTCACGACGGATGGCTGACCTGACCTGCCTATCCAGATCACGGAAAGCCGGCGATTTACCTTCGCGACGCAACACTCCCCGCCGCTGTGCCATCAGGTCGAGGGTGGCACGGGTCACAGGTGGCGCGTTCGGGTTCCTGATAGTGATACATTTGATTGGAGCATGCTTGTCAATGATCGGAACTAAAACGGACAGAAATTGAGACCACTTATCACAGACGGAAACGGAATTAAAAACACTAGACCAGTCAACAGAGTATAAGTCTTGCAACAACCGCGAGCGATCGACATCCTTCAATTTGCGAGTGGGGACACGACATGGCTTTGGGCGACATCTCGAAAACTTTAAAAGGGTTCGGACAAAACAATGAGGACTAAAAGCACACTTAAAAACTCCTGTTTTCTGAACACCATCGCTTACATTTGAAATCACAACATCAAGTAGTGAACCCGATGAAAATGTGGCTTGCGAAACGAATTGATACAGATGAAAAGCTTCAAGCATGTCAACTAGACGAGCACGGCTTAGATTAGTCGTAGAGTCAAGCATATTGCAATTGAGGTCACCCATGATAAAAACAGGTCCCTCGTATTGCAATAAAACACGTTGGTACTGAGTTTCTAGTGCACCAATGTCCGCGCTGAGTGCCGCCGCGGTCCGGCGTGGAGGCCGGTACACGGCGGCTAGGGTAAACGGTGGACCGACAGGCGGCCTCACCCGAAGCCAGAGGCTCTCCAGCTGACAGGCGGCACACTCCGGCTCCGGCTGGGCGACAACGGAGCAGCTGTAGTTGTCGCGACACAGGATAGCCACCCCGCCAAAGCCAGAGCCGCCAGGCCGGTCCGCGCGGTGGAGCGTGAACCCAGGGAAGGTCACGAGCCGTGTCGGGGTGGAAGGCTTCAGCCACGTTTCGGTGATGACGAAGAAGTCGTAGTTCAGTCTGTGCAGTTCATCGTGTTGCAGTGACACCACCTTCGGAAGCAGCGACTGGATGTTTATTAGTCCGACGAGAACATCCCGCCGACCGCCGGACCGCCACGACCTGCCGCCCCTGCAGCCCCGGCGCCGGGCGCCGTCAAGGTGTGCGTGCCGTCCGAGCCGGCAATATATGTGCAGAGCGGTGCGTGTCGTGTCAGTGCGGACTGAGGATCCGGCGGGCGCAGAACAGAACATGGCGCGGTCGGTAGTGTGATCGGTAGCGTGCGACACCGATTCCGAGATATACTGAACTACGTGCAGCCGTGTCGGATCGCTCGCGTCAGTGATGGCGGACAACGCACAACTCGAGCGCCTGACGGCGCTGTTGGCCCAGCAGTCGGAGCAGGCAGCGCAGCGGGAGGAGCGGCTCGCCGAGCAGGCGGCGCAGCGGGAGGAACGACTCGCAACCATGCTGGAGCGGGCGCTGGCGAACCAGGTGCAACAGCCGATCGCACGGAGCGAGACGGCCGTCACCGAGAGCAGACAGCCCGCTGCTACGCCAGCAAAACTCCCGTCGAGCGCTATCTCGACGCCGCACCTGACCTCCTCCGCGTCCCTCAAGGAGTTCGGCACGTGGCGCCAGAAGTTCGACGACTTCAGGCTCCTCACTCACCTGGAGACGTTGCCTATCGCGGAGCAGAAGGCGGCCCTGATGTCACTGCTCGACGACGAGTGGACGCGAACGCTGCGATATAGCCTCCAGATCCCTTCGGAAGCCGACCTGAAGACCGTGATCGACACGATGGAGGCTCATCTGCGTGGTCAACGCAGCATCATCCTCGACAGACGAGACTTCTACTCGCGAGTGCAAGAACCGGATGAGACGTTCGACGATTTTGTATCGTCTATTAAGGAAATCGCCGCGTATTGTGACTTTTGCGATAAGTGTGCGGACGATCAGTACCGTGACAGGATCGTGGTCGGCATCCGTGACGAGGAGGCGCTGAAGCGTATGCTGCATGAGCCGAAGCTGACGCTGCAGAGGGCGGTGGACATTTGTCGTGCGTGTGAGTCGGCGAACGCGAACAGTGCCGCAATTCTCGGCGAGCCGGCTAACGTGACAGCATTGTCGGCGTACCGTCGGTCGCGTGCCCATCCATGCTCCAACAGTGCGCGTCGAGACGACCCCTGCCGACGCTGCGGTCGGGCTCGACACGCTGACGGCGTGCGCTGCCCCGCGATGGATGCAGCATGCCATGCATGCGGAGGCTCCGGTCACTTCGCAACGGTGTGCGCCAACCAGCCGCCCGACCGCGGTCCCAGGGGCGGCGGCCGTGGCTGGCAGGATGCCAGATCACGTGACCGCGCGGCCGGCGACCAGCCGCCCGGCCGTGGCCGGTCAAGGTTACGCCGCGGGCGGGGCACGGGTCCTGGCGCGGCGCCGGCAAACGCGGACGCGGCCGGTGACCGACCCGAAGTACGACAAATTGTCGGAGATATCTACGTGGACCAACTGACTGCACGCCGCACGCCGCGGATCAGAGTGACACTCGTCCATTCGACGGGATCGTCGGCCGTGTTATGCATGCCTGATACCGGGGCGGAAGCTACGGTCATGGGCGCTGACATGGCTGCGTCCCTGGGTGTCGCAACGAAGATGACCGGGTCGGTAGGCGGCGAGATCAAGTTTTCGTCAGCCGGGAGCACGCCGCTGACCTGCATCGGCCAATTCAGCGCCGCGGTGACCTTTGGCGACTGCCAGACCGCCACAACGGTGTATGTGTTGCGAGAGGTCACCGGATTCCTGCTCGGCTGGTGTGACTCCGTGCGTCTGCGGATCCTGCCCGCCAATTTTCCGGCCCAGATCCCTGTCAACATCTGGCGCAGTCAGTCCGTTCCAGACCAAAGCCGCGGCAGCCACGTCCGCTCACAGTCGATCGGCGCGCGGCCTCTGCAGCGTCCCGACCGTCCGCCGGCGCCACCTGTCGACGAACACCTGGCGCCGCCTACTGGTCACCCGCTGCAACACGTGGCCGCGGCCCGGGCGGCGGGCGGCACGGGAACTTCGGCGGGTGGCACGGAAGCCCCGGCAGGCGACACGGGTGCCGCGGCGGGCGGCACGGGAGCCGCAGCGGGCGGCACTGGAACCACAGCGGGCGGCGCGGGAGCCGCAGGATCCAGCACGAAGCCGTCGTCTCAACAAACAGCGGCCAGTGCCCAGCCTGTGTGGGAGCACGAATACGACCCGTCAGACGATGTCATCAGAGGTCATGAGGCGACCCTGAGACAACAATTCAAAGACGTGTTCGACGGCAATGAGACGCTCTGCGAGATGGCTGGTGGCCCGATGGTCATCGACCTGACAGACGACGCAGTCCCCACAGCTCTCACCGCTGCCAGAAACATCCCATACTGCTGGAGAGAGGAAATAAAGAGCCAGCTCGACGACTTGGTCGCCAGAGGGATCGTGGCCCCGGTGAACTACCCTACGGAGTGGTGTCACCCCATGGTGCCAATTGCGAAACGCCAGGGAGGAGCCAGACTGGTCGTGGATATGACCGCCATCAACAGGTTCGTGAAGAGACCTGCCTACCCCGTGAGACCGATCCACGACGCAGTGGCGTCTATCGACGGGGACGCGCGGTGGCTGACCACGCTGGATGCCGCCATGGGATACTTTCAGGTCCCGATCGCCGAGGAATCTCAAGACCTCACCTGTTTCATAACTCCATGGGGCCGGATGAAGTTCCTCAGGGCCCCGATGGGTCTCATCTCGTCAGGTGACGAATACAACAGGCGGGGCGACGCAGCACTCGGAGATATACCGCGAACGCTGAAAATCGTGGACGATCTGCTGCTGCACGACGCGACCTACAGCGCCCATCTCTCTCACGTGGTCGCGGTCCTCAGACGCTGCCGAGAGACAGGCATCACTATCAACCCGCGCAAATTCCAGTTTGCGCGGCCGTCGCTGGACTACTGCGGCTACCGCATCTCGGAACAGGGCTACACGGTTGACGACCGCAAGCTGCAAGCGATCTCTGAGTTCCCGCGGCCGGAGAACCTCACCGATCTCAGATCGTTCCTGGGACTCACCAATCAGTTGGCCGACTTCTCAGCAGACATCGCCAGTGCAGCTCAGCCCCTCAGAGACCTGCTCAAGCAGCACACCGTCTGGAGATGGACTGAGCAACATGAAGAGGCATTCAAGGACGTCAAGAGAGCGCTGGTGTCGCCACCCGTTCTGGCCTTCTTCGACCCGCAGCTGCCTACCAAGCTTCAAACGGACTCTGCACGAACCCGCGGTCTGGGTTTCGTTCTCCAGCAGCGCCACGGAGACACATGGAAGATGGTGCAGTGCGGCTCCCGCTTCCTTACAGATACAGAGTCAAGATACGCGGTGGTGGAGCTGGAGTGCCTGGCCTGCCTGTGGGCCCTCCGCAAGTGCCACATCTTTCTGGCAGGACTTCCACAGTTCGACCTCATCGTGGATCACCGCCCTCTCGTCCCGATCCTCAATTCCAAGAGGTTATCAGAGATCGACAACCCTCGCCTCCAGCGGATGCGGGAGAAAATGTCGATCTACAGCTTCACTGCTGTATGGCAAAAGGGGGCCTCACACTGCATCCCGGACGCCCTGTCACGCGCTCCAGTCTCCGATCCAGCAACGGGAGACGAGGTTGCGGAGGTGACGGAGGCACTGCACGACGCCGTGGTCGCTACTCTGAGCGCGACCTCCGAGGACGGTGTCCTAGTCGCTCCGCTCCAAGACCGGACTCTGGACTCGGTTCGGGCGGCAGCCGCCCGCGATCCCGAGTACCGAGCCCTCCGTGACGTCATCCTGGTAGGATTTCCCGACCACCGACACGACGTGGCACCAGCTCTGCGGCCCTACTGGGGTGTCCGCTCAATGCTGGCGGTCGACGACGGGCTCATCGTCTACGGAGCGAGGCTCGTGATTCCGGCCAGTCTACGCCGCAACGTTCTCGACCGGCTACATGATTCTCACCAAGGAATGGAGAAAACCAAACGCCGCGCACGGCTGTCCGTGTATTGGCCGGGGATTGACCGGGACATATGCAACACCGTCTCTGCATGCCAGAGCTGCAGGCAGCTCGCTGCCAGTCACAGCAATGAGCCCTTATGGATGGAAGACGATCTTCCCAGCCGCGTTTTCGAGTCGGTATCGGCAGATTATTTTTATGTCGCCGGCCGGACCTACCTCGTGTACGTGGACAGACTGTCAGGCTGGCCGTATGTAACGGTCTGCCCCAGGACGGCCTCGGCGGACCACCTGGTGAAGCAGCTGCGGCGGCTGTTCTCTCAGACGGGTGTTCCCACCGTACTGCGGACAGACGGCGGACCGCAGTTCGCCTCCTCCACGCTCCGGCGATTTCTGGACCGGTGGGGAGTCTGCCACGAGATGTCATCCCCACGGTACCCGAGATCCAACGGTCACGCCGAGGCTGCCGTGAAAACGGTGAAGAAAATAATCGTGGCTGCCTCGGCGAGCGGACGGCTGGACGACGATCAGCTCGACCGAGGTCTCCTCGAGCTGCGAAACACGCCACGGGCCGACGGCAGGTCACCAGCCCAGACGCTGTTTGGTCATCCGCTGCGGTCGGGCGTGCCGACCCATCACCGAGCATACGCACCTGAATGGCAGCGCGCCGCCGACGCGTGCGACGCGAGGGCGGCCGACCTCCGAGACGACGTACAGCGCCGTCACGACGCCACAGCGCGCCCCCTCTCTGGACTGCGCGTCGGCTGCCGCGTCGACGTGCAGAGCACCGAGAACGGCCGCTGGGACCGTACGGGTGTGATCGTCGGCGTGGGACAGCGCCGCACCTACCTTGTAAAGATGCCAAGCGGACGCATATATTGGAGAAACAGGCGTTTCCTGAGACCACACCGCCCGATGTTGGCCAGCGGCGCGGAGCCGCAGCCACCGGAGGTTCCCGGCGCGGCGCGGGCGCCGCCGACCCGGCGGGAGGCGCTGCAGCAACCGCCCACCCACCGAACGGCGGCGGCGCGAGCGGCGGAGCCCCGTCAAAGTGGTCGCCAGCGTCGTGAGCCGCAGCGACTGCAAGTCCGCTGGGACACCAACACATATGACTGATAGCGTGTGCACGCTACGAATGCCCCGACATGTGTTTTGTTATTGTAACTGCATTTCGTTGTATCGCGCGATAGTTCTCGTCTTCCTTGATGGATGCTTCGCTTAACGGAGATTACTTTTGTTTGAAGACATTCGTCTAACATATCAAGGTATGCTTTTGTTAGAGCGAAGGTCTTGGGGGGAGGTGTTATGATACGGGCCCGCAACCCCTGTTATGAGAAGGGCCCGGCCTTGGCCCGCCGAGCGGCCGCCGGCCGGCGCCGGCGGAGAGCGGGCAGTGTCGAGCGAGCCGTCAAGGTGTGCGTGCCGTCCGAGCCGGCAATATATGTGCAGAGCGGTGCGTGTCGTGTCAGTGCGGACTGAGGATCCGGCGGGCGCAGAACAGAACACCCCTCCCGTCCTTTTCCGTAGATATCTTCTAAACGGCTGGATATATCGCCACCAAACTCTTAGGACCCTTCCTGGCGTCAAAGTTACACTTGGTGACAAAAAAAAAAAATCCAGAGGCTTTGATTTGTTGGCCACAAATGGGGCCAGAATGACGTCATTGCTTGCCTTTTTCGAACCAAAAAACATGTTTCGCAAGAAAAGCTGTCAGGGACGGTCAGGCCTACAGCCTTGAAGATACAGAAGACATGATTGAGAACAAAAGATAAAGAATTGACTTTGACAGAGCTATAAAACTGCAATCTCGGATTAACATTTTTATGGATTTAAACTAAAAAAATCAAAAAAGTGATTCTTTGAATAAAATAGCCAAAAGATCCAAAACTTTTTTTTTTAATTTCGAAAAAAACGGGAATAAATATGATCGTACCCTCCGTCTTCTATCTGGATACCAAACTTCAAATCGATACCTCTTTGTTTTGGCCAAGTAATAGCGAAAAAACACTGTTCAAAATGGTGACGTCAAAAATTTTCAAGCTTAATTTATGTCAATTCTAGACCACGTAGCGCAAAACAAAGAGGCTCATTGGACTCCCCGTGACGAGCCGCATCTAATTGATACCCATTGTATGCAAAAATATCAACTTTTATGATTTCACCTAATTTGACCTGACCTTGACCTGAACTTTACCAGACCATAACCTAAGCTGGCCCCAAAGGCTGCCTGACCCACATAATCGCATTTGTCATGTAACCTGGACCATTAAAAATGAATCACACGACACTTTCATATTGTGACCCTCAGAGACCTGAGCTCTGTAACCTGACCTGGTATCAATGAACTCAGATAGCAAAATATGTGTTTGACGAACAATGCTCCATCAATGATTTTCAATACCTTACCAATTTACTCGATTTCACAACACATTTCTTCAAATGCCTGTATGAAACGGTGAAATTACGAACTTTGATCAGACCTGTGACGTCATCGGTTGGACCAAGGTCAATTAAATTTGGTCACAAGGTAGTTCCCCGGTGGGGCTATCGAACGACTTTTGCATTTTGAAAATCGGCCGGTATATTTCCGAGATCTTAGGGGTCCAAAACGCCCCCCCCCCCACGGATGGTAGGGTCTGCCGGTAGCCCTACGGGGCGCGGGTTATTCTAGGTAAATTGTGTCAATAAGATTTAAGCCATAACTTGTCTTCTTTTTCTGGAGTCAAAGAAGCCTCTGCCTGTCCTGTTTACGAGCTACTGCTAGTGCTGCTAGGCTAGTTCTGCAGCACCGGCATCAGCACCAGGATAAGCAGCAGGAGCATTCGCAGCAGTATAATCGGTAGCAAAAAGCTCGGTCAAACAGCAAAACATTACTCAGTGTGGAGAGAGGGCACGGCAGCAAAACCGGCTGAATGAGCAACACTAACAGGAGCTGGAGGAGCAGAGGAGACGTCACTGCGAGGAGCTGGAGTGGCAGAGGAGACGTCACTGCGAGGAGCTGGAGCAGCAGAGGAGACGTCACTGCGAGGAGCTGGAGTGGCAGAGGAGACGTCACTGCGAGGAGCTGGAGCAGCAGAGGAGACGTCATTGCGAGGAGCTGGAGCAGCAGAGGAGACTGCATCGCCAGCAGCTGGAGCAGCAGAGGAGACTGCATCGCCAGGAGCTGGAGTAGCAGAGGAGACTGCACCATCAGGAGCTGGAGGACCAGAACAGACGGCACCAGCAGGAGTGGAAGGATCTGGAGCGGCGCCCCGGCCGCTCGGCTAGGCTCGTGGTCCGTGCTGCACCTTTTAACATGTCCCAGGGCATACAACATAGCTGGTAGACGCATACGGACACATGGTGGACATTCAGGGTATTGCAGGCTTGTCCTGTACGAAAACGGATGCATCGTCAGGTCACCGCTGCGTGGCCCGGTTGTCGCAGTCGCTAAGTGACAGGTGGGTAACCGGATTTCACAGCTAAGTCACAGCTGAGTGAGCCGGCTGGCCATGCAGGACCCGGGTGGGGTCGCTGAAGGGTGACCTGTCTCCCGGAGACACGACCACTCCCCAAAGGTCACGACCAGACCACGCCTTCAGGGGACACGGGCTGTATAAATGGTCGGACAGCGGCAGCGGAGGCACAGTCAACACAGACACCGGGCAACCAACATGATCAAGGTAAGCAGTAGGTACCGCGGCAATGAAAACAGACAGCCAAACATTCTGTGGTAGTGAGATCAGATTGGTGTAAATGTCCCGTGGAGGAAAGAACTTGAAAAGGTGTCTGCAACGCTTGTCGTTTGAAGCTTCTCGCCAATATTTGCACAAGCATGCCATATTTCATGAGGTTTTGGTAGGATTCAGGCAGATGAGACAACATCCAAACATGTTATTCACTTTTGCTAAAATCGGAAATGAATACAATGGAGGCACAAAAATTGAAAAGGCTAGCAAGAAATATTGGCGGGATTGTCTCTTAATCCCCCTTGTTTTCGTTGTTTTCAGTTTGTCGTATTCGCCCTGTGTGTGGCCGCCGCGGCTGCCGGCGGTGGATATGGTGGTGGATATGGCGCCCAGAGCCACGTCAGCGTCCAACAGTGAGTTTATTAAACAGAACGCTGAACACTTCATCCGTTTCGCCGTTGGAAAACGAATTGAAATCACCTAAATCGTCTAGGCTAAAACTTAACATCCCGTGAAACGGCGTTTCAAAATAGATATTTTCTGAACTAACCAATGCGAGCCTCATAAGTCATAAGTTCCGCGTAACGATATTTGGGAGGAAACCGAACCTCGAAAAGCATCGCACCTAACTTCCTAACTGCTAACACACACGTTTTTTCAGGTACAATCCCTGGGGCAGCAGCAAGTATGGAGTTCATCAGACTCACGCCACTTATGCGTAAGTACAAAATTATCGGGAGAGTCATCGTTCCTTTGCTTGCTGGTACGTTCTAATGAAGTGTTTTCAAATTCACTACATAACGTTTAACCAAAATATTTAATCCTGTTAAGTCCCCTTACAGAAGTGTTATTTTTCTTTTTGAGTGACATTTTTACGGAGCGAGCGTAGTCTTTCCTTAGATTAACGAAAATTTCTGAGTATGTTTTGCGAGGCTTATATCTCAGCAACTACTTGACCGATTTACACGCGGTAATTTTTGTAGGGTAACTTCATTCCTTCTACCAAGTATTGGACAATTCCCGATGCATGTGGGAGAACCCTTATGCATGTGCTACGTGCAAAACGAAAAAGTGTCAGTTTTGTTATAGTTGCAATATCTCGGTAACTACCTGGCCGATTGCGCTGAAAGTTTGCATGTACATAGGTAGGCACCCACCAGGCAATGCATATCCATGTGCCAGGGCTGGGGTGCTGCTGCACGTGCGCACGTGCATGGCTCGTTTCCAGATCTCGATAACGGCTGGGCCGATTGTGCTAAAATTTGGCTCATCGCTAGAGACCGGCTAGTAGGGTGCCGTGTACAAGTTTGTTGGAGGTACCCCCTCAAAATTTAGCACGTGCAAGGCTCACCCTCTCGCTCGCTCCGTTGGTCGCTCCAAAAGGCGTTATACTGGTGGTAATATGTTTTTACAGCTATCTTACCTTTCAAAAACAATAAAGAGATGAATAAAACACACTAATGTACAAATTAATTGTTTCAGTGATATTGAATTCGGTGAGATTTTCTCAACGAGCATGAAAGCGAGGTGCTCTTTTGATTCATATTAAACCTGTATTATAATTGAAAACAAAATACTTTGCTACATTTATGTAACTCATGATTCCAATGTAAATGGAACCATCCATATGGGTGGCATTTTATTCTATTTTGTTTTCTTTGGCAGCGGCCATAGCGGTGGATACGGTGGATACGGAGGATACGGCAAGTTTGTCGGAGGACACGCCAAAGTCTACGCCCAGGCCCAGGGATCTGGTGGATATGGACACGGCGGATACGGCGGTGGACACGGCGGATACGGTGGTGGACAAGGTGGATACGGCGGTGGACACGGCGGATACGGCGGTGGATATTCCTACGGATACAGCGCCGATGTCGGACATGGTGGATACGGCGGATACGGACACTAGAAACACATACAAGACTATTGAACGGGGTAATTATTTGTTGTTTTCCGTGTACTTGGTGTCCGAGTATTTGAATGTTCAATGTAAACGTATGTGTGCTGTGTCAATAAAATGAATGTATCCAGCAGTATTGCTGAGTAATTAACGTCATGGATGATATAACGCTTATTATCTCATCCCTGTTAACGTATTAATGGGATAGTCTGTAAAACCCTTGTCAGGGTAGGGCATTGAAACACCCCAAAAGCTGTTATTTTCGCACATAGCGTGAAACGGTGGTGTGTAGCTCCGCCAAATTTGGAATGCTCTATGGGACACCCTCTTAGAACATTCCACAATTCCAATGTCAATTCCCAACCATTTCAGAACAAGTCACCAGGTCACTACATAGAAACAGTGATTAGGTTAAGCTTATGGTAAAATAACGACGCTTTGTAATAAGTAAGTTTTTCACAAGTAAAAATTCGCTGCCGTTTCTTAGACATCTCCGAAAAACCACAAACCTCCCTCCCAACGGGTCGCAGGCTAATGTAAGGCATGCTTGCGCAATATACATACCTTCTGTGACATTGAGTGGATAGACGGAAGTTTTACACGAGAACACAATGTCCATCAGCTATATTGAATCTTTCCAGGCACTTAGACGACATATATCTGTGAAATATTGCATAACCTTATGGAATGCTGCGTTTCCAATTGGGAACCGTTACTCTCTGTTACGGATCGGCACTCACTGAAGTACCCCAAATCCCCTGTGCGGAGCGGAGTGTCTTGTTCGCACAGACTACACCGTCCCGAGATCCGTGAGAACCGTCCGCTCTCTGCAGCCGAAACGTGTGGTTACCGGTCACCTGCGGTGTGAAAATTCGGACCAAGGTCAGGTGGACTCATGTCCCACAAGAGTGAGAGACTCGGCCCAACGGTGCAGCGGTCACCACCGCTTGTTGCGGGGTAAAAATAAACCCGGCAAAGGGGTACTCAGTGGCTGTATATAAGACTGACTGTTGGCAGAAAAGTTGCAGTCAGCACACAGCGGCCACTAAAACAGATCAAACATGATCAGGGTGAGATATGACTGGCTCAAAAGAGCTGTACCAACTATTACTTACTGGTATATCCGGGTTTCGTCATTCTATGGAAAACTTTGGGCTAATAGCTTAGAACCTAACCCTTATCATTTGCCAGTATTTGTGCATCTCGTGTAATTTAGGTTTAGCTCAATGTGTCAACCTTTAGCTACATCTCAATATATGCGCTGTTTTACACTGCACAGCTCTCGGCCCATCATCTAACACTGTTTGTTTCCAGGTTATCGTTTTGTCGCTGTGTGCGATGGTCGCGACTGCCGATGGAATACCTGGCGGGCCACTGGAGGGACTGCAAAGTCACGTCAGCGTGCAACAGTGAGATCATCTTTATGTGGCACATTAGCGTGGTATATACCGATTTAACATGTGATTATTTTGCATTTCATCGTAATGCCGTCCATATTTCATTGGTTTGGTGGGTGTGCTTATGATTTGTCACACGTTATGCCTACCAATGAATTGTCTTTGTTTCAGATATAACCCCTGGGGCAGCAGCAATTACGGGGTTCATCAGACTCATGCCAACAAAATGTAAGTATCAGTTTGCATGTTACAAATGGCTTATGTAAGTGTTCAATATGACTTTTTGTAGTGGGAAATGACAATAAAATTGTTTTTTGTTTAGAGCTTTAACTTGCAATTGATGAACGCCTATCTCTGTTTTAGCATTCTACATCGAATTAAAAAATGTCATGATACGTTGTTGCGTGGGTGCTTTGTCACGTATTTTGTTACCAGTAGGCTCAACATAGCCCAAACGTACTTTGTAACGCTGGAGTATCCTTTGAATGCTGATGATACTTTTGTTTCATCACAGCGGAAACCAGGGCGGTGGATACGGCGGATACGGAGGATACAGCACGTTCACTGGAGGGAAGGCCAAGGTCTACGCTCAGGCTCAGGGAATCGGTGGCCATGACGGATACGGTTCTGGCGGATATGGACGAAAGGGATATGGACACGGTGGATACGACGCTGGACACGGTGGATACGGCCGATACGCCTACGAATATAGTGCTGATGTCGGACAGGACGGTTATGCCGGGTATGGTCGTTAAGCAAATACTTCCTCTGTCTGTATGGTGATGAATGTTGCATAGAAATGTGCTGGTTGTTCCATCATCTTAAAGTCGGTCTTACCGATGAAATCAGGTTTGTCAATCAAATAAATGACCATCGATAGCATCCATACATTGTTTTCGATATCTTTTCCTGCCCTGTCGTACTTGCAGAACGTGCGTTAACTAATCCCGGATTTATTTTCGGTGAAGTCAACCATCATAAGGTCTAATCTAACCAACTTTTCAGTCACGATGGGTATGGAAGGGGATGATGTGACCGTTGCCTCCTCTGTCTTCTTGCAGAAAGGTCTCTTGCACATGAAACTGTCCATGTGGTCAATTTAAGGGGATTATCCCACCTTTACATTAGGTTTGAGTTGAGATAGCCAAGTTTGCGGCGAGGTTCAGAAACCACTATCTATCTTGGTCTCAACCCCCGCAGCCTCGTGGTGTTGAAGAAATTCGTTCCCTTCATTTGAAAATGTTCCCTGTACAAGTCCCAATCTCTTAACCATTAACGGCAATCTGATGACGTCATTTGCCTTTTGAACGCCTGTCACGCATTCAAGTGAAGTATCACTTGATTTACAAATAAGCCAATCAGAGACTCTTTTGTTGCTGTATGAGCCGCGACATATTTGAGAGCAAATATATTTGCTGCCAAATTTTCCTCCACATTGACATGAAGTAAATCCTTCATTACGTCACAAGTTCGATCTAAGTGACGTCACGATGAAATATAAAAGTCGCAATACCTCAAAAAGTATATGATGAAAACGCGTAAAAACTTGCAGAAGTCGTCACGATATCATGAGTAACATTTCCGAATCATAAACGGTGCTTTTTTGAAGGTGGGATAGTCCCTTTAAGACTTCGTTAAACATGCTTACTTTTTGTGACCTCTGTTGAAACTGGGCCGATGTTTTCAAAATTGTCATATAATCGGGGAATACGCGTCCGGATCGTGGGCCGCCTGCGGCGGTGCTCGTTGTCGTTCGCTGATTGGCTGCCTCGGGGCGGCCGTGACCCGGCGCTGGGTCGGCCGCCGCGGGGAAGCGTCAGTCGGATGCGGAGTCTGATGTGGGTCGGGGACAATTACCGGGGTTACATGAGCGATCCGTTCCAAATACGCACTACGCTAATGCGCATCAGCTCCCCACAAACGGATCTACGGCACCGGTTACATGAGACTAATTCGTTTTATCTACGTCAAACGGATCTTGTTTGGCTCACCCGGGCTGACTCCTCGACGGCCGGTAATTCGTATCACAAACGGAATAGGATTAGCGTACAGTCATGGCGCAGTTGCGGCATTTACCGGGACGACTGAGCTAAATTTTAAATACTTATATCATTTGATAGGCTCAAAAACATTTAAAATTAACATGAAATCAAAAAATGAAAACAAAGTTTTCTTGTTTTAAGTCAGTGGGCACTGATTCGCCATGCAGCGACAGCAGGGTGGTCAGAAAAAAAATATCTATAAAAATATTTCATTCATTTTATTTCACATGCAAAGACTAAACCAAAATACCAACATTTTTTTTGCTATTTTCTACGAGGCAGCCAATAAAAAAATGCTTAGTATTTTGCATTTTGACGCTTCCAGTCAGCAAAGAATAGTCCTTGTGAAATACGGCCCGAATCGTGTGCCTCGGACGTTTCGGTTACATGAGCGATCCGTTCCAAATACGCACTACGCTAATTCGCATCAGCTCCCCAAGAACGCATTCAGTGCACCGACTACATGAGCAAATTCGTATCAGTGACGTCAAACGGATCTAGTTTGGCTCTCGGCCCGATGCGCATTACAAACGGAATAGCATACAAATGTGGCGCACTTCCGTAGCAATAGAGGTGACTGAATTAAAAACTTAATATCTTATGTCTTTTTTGCATTTAATCTGCTCAAAACATTCTCAATTAACTTAACAAAAAAAAGTTAAACATAAAGTTGTCTTGCTTCGACTCATTGAGCACTTGCCTCTCTTGATTCGTCCTAGTGCTGTCAGAAAAATGTTTCAGCTGAAAGTACTTTGATATTTTCTTTTTGGTTTTCACTCTATTTATTTGTGAAAACTTGACAAAATACCGACATATTTTTTTAAATTATTATTTCAAAAGAAGCAAATGAAAAAAAATACCCATTATTTTGCATTTTAATGTTTCTTTTTGGAAAGAAATAGTTCCTGTAATACGTATCTTGGTCCTATTCGCTTCTAAGCCTCTTTCCCTGCGGATTTTGTTCGGACCGCCGATTCGTATTAGCAGGTGGATACATGAGTCGGTAGTACGCTCCTGATTCGCATTAGCGGTGAATCCGATCGTGATACGTATTCGCTTTGCTCATGTAACCGCGGATCGGATCACCGATTCGTACTAGCAGGTGGCTACATGAGTCGGTAATGCGTTCCTAATTCGAATTAGCGGCTAAATACGTTTTTACTGTGCTCATGTAACCCCGATAACTGAGGTGCGCTCACTGAGTGTGCTGATACAGTTACCGGGGTTACATGAGCGAGCCGTTCCAAATACGCACTACGCTAATGCGCATCAGCTCCCCACAAACGTATCTACGGCACCGGTTACATGAGACTAATTCGTTTTATCTACGTCAAACGGATCTTGTTTGGCTCACCCGGGCTCACACCTCGACGGCCGGTAATTCGCATCACAAACGGAATAGGATTAGCGTACAGTCATGGCGCAGTTGCGGCATTTACCGGGACGACTGAGCTAAATTTTAAATACTTTTATCATTTGATAGGCTCAAAAACATTTAAAATTAACATGAAATCAAAAAATGAAAACAAAGTTTTCTTGTTTTAAGTCAGTGGGCACTGATTCGCCATGCAGCGACAGCAGGGTGGTCAGAAAAAATTATCTATCAAAATATTTCATTCATTTTAATTCACATGCAAAGACTAAACCAAAATACCAACATTTTTTTTTTTGCTATTTTCTACGAGGCAGCCAATAAAAAAATGCTTAGTATTTTGCATTTTGACGCTTCCAGTCAGCAAAGAATAGTTCTTGTGAAATACGGCCCGAATCGTGTGCCTCGGATGCCTCGGTTACATGAGCGATCCGTTCCAAATACGCACTACGCTAATTCGCATCAGCTCCCCAAGAACGCATTCAGTGCACCGACTACATGAGCAAATTCGTATCAGTGACGTCAAACGGATCCAGTTTGGCTCTCGGCCTGACGGAAGGTAATGCGCACTACAAACGGAATAGCATACAAATGTGGCGCACTTCCGTAGCAATAGAGGTGACTGAATTAAAAACTTAATATCTTATGTCTTTTTTGCATTAAATCTGCTCAAAACATTCTCAATTAACTTAACAAAAAAAAGTTAAACACAAAGTTGTCTTGCTTTGACTCATTGAGCACTTGCCTCTCTTGATTCGTCTGTAGTGCTGTCAGAAAAATGTTTCAACTGAAAGCACTTTGATATTTTCTTTTTGGTTTTCACTATATTTATTTTTGAAAACTTGACAAAATACCGACATATTTTTTTTGATTATTATTTCAAAAGAAGCAAATGAAAAAATACCCATTATTTTGCATTTTCATGTTTCTTTTTGGAAAGAAATAGTTCCTGTAATACGTATCTTGGTCCTATTCGCTTCTAAACCCCTTTCTCTGCGGATTTTGTTCGGACCGCCGATTCGTATTAGCAGGTGGATACATGAGTCGGTAGTACGCTCCTGATTCGCATTAGCGGTGAATCCGATCGTGATACGTATTTGCTTTGCTCATGTAACCGCGGATCGGATCGCCGATTCGTACTAGCAGGTGGCTACATGAGTCGGTGATGCGTTCCTAATGGCAACTTAGCGGCCCCCGGCTAAGAGTCGTTGAGCGAGGGCAGACAGATGCCGGAGAGAGCGAGGGAGAGGGAGGGAGGGTGGGAGGGAGAGAGATAAGCGGAGCGGGCGGGCTGGGGAGGGAGGCACGAGGGGAGCGCGGGATGTAGGACAGTCAGAGACGAGCCAGCGAAGGGGACGGACCATCGGTCATGGTCCCAACATTTTTTTTGGCTTCTCTCATTGTGTGACACTCCGAGTGACAGAGTGACAGAGAGGCTATGAATAGTGACGGCGAAAGAGGGAGTGGTGGCATGGTACTCAGAAGGGCGGTGCCTTGCGATTCAGCGCAGCGCAGGAGCCGGGAGGCAGAGAATCAACCGCCTGTGACGACTCATGACGTGAGGTTTGTCAGTAGATGCCACTGACTACAGGTAAGCGAAGGGGCGAGTTTGCTGTTGTGTAACTGGCCGGGTGCTGCGACAGCTTGATGGGCGCAGTACCCTGCGCTCTCGAGAGCAGGGATGCTTTTGTGGGCAGACCGCGAGGGCGCTACTTTCCAGCTCTTGGGAGCTTATTGTCATGGCTGTCAGCTGTCGATGTATAATCAGCGGGTAGACAGAATTCGCGCGACTTGCGTCATTGCGGAGTCACGCGCTGTCTAATCTGGATGGTGTTGTCCGACATCTCGTGCTACAAATTGAATAGGCTAGCAATATCGGCTTGGGAGAGACGGTCGTGGACGTTTTTTTTCTCGTTGCTTCGTCAAGAGCTTTTGGACGCTTGAAGCGCGCCACCGCGGCAGCTGTGGTCGTGGGAGCGCTCCGTGAGGACCCAGACTGTGGGTTAGCGCCTGCCTGGTCTCCTGTTGTCACAGTTCGGTGACTGGTTGCCAGCGCGACTGCCGACTGCGTCGGGGGAGCGGGACGGGGTCAGACGTCCCTGTGCATACGGAGTGTGGCAGCGGCTGAGGGGCCTGCTGGTTGGCGTTTGGAGCCTTTGGGGGCTGGTGGGTGCGGTGCGGTACCCTTGGGGGCGAACGCGGTCAGTGACTTGGTGACCTCGGGTGACATTTTCAGGGCTGATATCAGGTTTGGCCCGTGACCACCTGCCTCCTGGTCACGTTCTTATCTTATCAACCAGGACCACCTTCCTGGTTGATAAGAACGAGCTGAGACAAGCTTCGGCAGGGTGCGCTGAAGGAGCAGAGCGCCGGTGGCGACCGGGCAAGCGCCGCGGGATGACCGGGGGGGGGGGGGGTGGCAGACCGCTACGGGCACCACTATCGCGGGTCTGACGGGCGGCCGTGGGAGC